CCCCCCCCCCCCCCCCCCCACCTCCGGACGTCTCCTTCCCCCCTCGGCGGTGCGGGCGGCGCGGGCCGGCGACGGGGCGGGTGCGGGTGGGGAGAGGAGGAGAGAGGGAGGGGGAGAGGGAGGGGAGGAGAGGAGAAGAGAGAGGGAGAGGAGAGGAGAGGAGAAGGAGGAGGAGGAGGGGGAGGGGAGGGGAGGGGAGGGGGAGGGAGAGGGAGGGGAGAGGAGGAGAGAGATAAATCCCAGAAATGAAAATATTTTCAGCATTTAAAGGGAATGTATAGCTTGTGTGTGGTGGTGCACAACTTTAATCCCAGCCTTTGATGCAGAGGCAGGCAGATCTCTGAGCTGAAACCAGCCTAGTTTATACAGAGAGTTCCAGGGTAGCCCTAGCTGCGTGGTGAGACACTGACTCAATAGATAAATACAATTAAGTACAGATATCTGTAATTCCAACACTGGGGAACCAGAGGCAGGAATACTGATTGATGTTTGGAAGTGAAGGCAACCTGGTCTATATAGTAAGTTCTGAGCCAGGCAGAGCTACATAGTAAGACTCTGTCCCAAAAGATAAAACTTCAAAACAATAACAATAATAACAAATCAGGCTTTGTGAGATGGCTCAGTGGAAAAGGTTCTTGCTGCCAAGCTTGACAACCTGAGTTTAATCCTAGGACATACATGGTGGCCGAAAATCTCTTTTTTTCAGTTGTCCTTTAATCTCCTAAACATGTTCACAAGCAAACACATACACATACATACATAACCATACATGTATGTATTTTTCTAAAAGAGCAGATCTATTGAGGACACATCAGGGGCTAGTGGCCAGGCAGTAATGAGATGCCACCTTCCCATATTTCATGCTCTGTAAATAGAAGGTTGGAAAGAATTCAAACAGGTATATAATTAGAGTACTTCTAGAACAGCTGCCAGGCACTCAGACACTATGTGCTCATACTGTTGTAAGGGTACTTACTGTATTTCCTACTGAGCCTGTGAGAACTAAACAGTCACACCTTCTGCTACATGTAAATCAACAACAGAGTAAGCAAGAGCTCATTTTGCATGCAAGGTTTAGTTGATGTTAGCTGGCCTAAACCTACCTGACTGGAGATGTCCATTGCGGCATGTCAGGTTAGTACTCTCATTATAGACGTCCGTTTGTGACTTGGAAAATTGCAAAACTGGTTGCAGCTTCTCTATGCAACAGAGGGGGTTAAAAAAGAACAAAATAAACAAAAAAGAAAAATAAACAAAACGTATGTGGGAATGGAAAATTATTAATGTGTTACAAAGGTGTCAAACCGAAGTTTGTGCAGATACATAAAATAATCTCTAAAATATGCAATTAGTAAGTACTCATATGGAAAGTTACAGAAGTGAACATGTGAAAGGCTATGCTGAACATATACCTTAATTAGTCTGGCAACCTGAGACAGTGACTGCTATTATCAGCAGCAAGAGATGGCTGCTTCTCAAGTTAGCATAGTGACAAGCGGATAAAAACTGACTGTGGTTTTGTTGTTGCTGTTTTGAGACAGGGTCTATGTAGCCCTGGCTGTCCTGGAACTCACTCTGTAGACTAGGCTGGCCTTGAATTCAGCAATCTGAAAGCCTCGGCTTCCTGTGCTGGGATTAAAGCCACCAGGCCCAGTTTATGCCTATTGTTCTTGTTATCTACAAACGAATTAAATATAATTGGCAATTTAGAGCATAACCATATTTTGTTTTACTACCACTACTACTGAAGACAGGGTCTATCTATATGGCCTTGGCTGTCCTAAAACTCATTATGTAGAACAGGTTGGCCCTGAACTGAAGAGATCCACTGGGATCTGCTGGCATTAAAGGCCCATGCTACCATGCCCAGTAAAACATAATTTTTAAATGACTGCACACCTCAAAGAGTCTATTGGAAAGGCTTTACAGAGGAAGTACAGTATTGGTTCCACTTTACAGAGGCAGTACAATATAAGATAAAAAGATAAAATATAAATATAAAATACAATATAAAAATTTTTTTCAGAGGAAATCAAACTTTAAAATGGCACACAAGGAAACAAGGACATATTTGGCTACATTATCATAAGTCAAGCAAAAAGTAAATGCTACAGGACAAGAGACCAGCGTGATGAACTACATGTTCTGTATACTACTGTTTGTGAACACGCACTCATGCACACCCGCATGTACACAGTTGTCACCTCTTAATGAACGAAGAGACAATGCTGTTACTGGTGCCTCTTAGGAGGGGACAGTCTGGAAGGTAGGATGGTTATACTTTAAACTCTGTGTCATGTGCCTGTGAGACGTAGCTAATCAACGGGAAGATGTGTTTCAATTCTACTCCATCCCAAATAACAGCCCTACACAGACAGAGTCACAGCCTGCTACCCAGACTAGAAAGGGCTGATGCTTCCCTTCCAGAAGCAGGGCTGCATCCCTATTCCTGCCCCCTACCTTGGCAGTAACCTACATGCAGGGTGCCAGACACGCTCCTGAGGTAACACACATGAGGTATGTAATCTGTCTCACCCAAATAAGGGATCATCTTTTTCCATAAATGCTTTGTTGAAGTAAGTTTGTTTTCTTCTGTACTAGCAAGCCAATGAATCCAGCACAGGCACTAGATATGTGTGGAATAATACACACTCAATATGTGCAAGGCTCTGGCTTAATTATCAGCACCCAATAAGAAAACAAAACAAAGAAAGCAGAACATACATATGACCTTTTAGACTTGTATTCCTCAAGTCAGACAAGTAGGCACCATGCTTGGTTTACGGTGCAGTATCACATGCCTCTGGGACAGGCTAAATAGCAGCTACTCTTTGTAGACAAAGCACAAAGCAGTGTGCAGCTTTTGTACCCTAGAAGTGGCTGATACAATATACCTTGGATCCTTTCTATTTACTTCAGTTAACTGGAGGTAGGTCATCTGATTTTTCTCAGTGATAATGCTCTTTAAATCAAAATACTGAGACACAACTTAACTTATATTGATCAAAGCATAAGTTAAAAAAAATTCTGGTTAAGCGTCTTCTTTATTAACTCAAACACTCACTACCAGAAACATAGAAGAAATTAGAATGTTACTTTTTTTTGATGATTGGGAATAAAAGTATAGGTATATACATAGAATTTGCAATTTGACCTGTGTAAATACACACGCATACACAAACAATGAAATGGACACACACCACTGACACTGTGGCCTTGCCTCAGTTAATCTCTATTGATAAAGCAGTAGCTGAGGCTGTAGCTCAGCAGTAGAGGACCTGAGTGGTATGTACAAGGCCCTGTGTTCTATCCCTGCTACAACAACTGAGAGGGACTAACACTTCTTTTTAAAACGATTAAGGGACTACAGACTAATGCAGCTTCCCCGAACACCTCACATCTAATTCCCAATGAATCACCTCACTGATGGAAAAAATCTTACCGTATATCTCCACTTTAAAACCCTTTAGCTGAGCATGGTGTTACTCCTTTAATCATAGCATTTGGAGGGCAGAGGCAGGCAAATCTGTGAGTTCCAGATCAGCCTGATCTACATAGTAAGTTCAAAGACAGCCAGAGCTACACAGTGAGACCTGTATCAAATAATATTGATGATGATGCGACAAACATTGGTTACTAAATCATAACAAACCTGGACACTGGTCATTTTTTATACCTGTTTTGGTTGACATTAAAAGTAATTACCACTGGGCATGATGGCATGTAATTTCAGCATTCAGGAAACATAGGCAAAAGAATCACTGTGAGTCTGAGGCCAGCTTTGTCTAAATACCGAGTTCCAGGACAGAAAAGACTATGTAGAGAGAGCTTGTCTCAAAATAAAAAAGTAATAAAAGTAACAAATAAATACTGGTATTTTTTAGTGATGATCGTATTTCATGATTTTACTTTAAGAGTCTGTATCTTTAAGAAAAACATTATGAAATACTTTTAAATGGAATAAAATATATCAAGAATTTGTTGTATAATAATATGAAAGGGAGAGGTAGGTATAGCCAGTGGTGATGCATATCCCCACACTCCAGAGGAGAGGCAGGTGGATATCTGTGAGTTTGAGAACAGCCTGGTCTACAGAACGAGTTCTAGGCAAGCCAGGGCAACACAGAGAATCCCTGTCTTGAAAAATAAACAAATGAAATTGAAATTATTAACATATTCTACCTACAAATAAAGCCTCACTTCTTGTGGAACTAGAAGCTGAGCATAAGGTCAGGCACATGCTATGCAAGTTATCCTTCACTGAACTATGTACGTGTCCAGTCCTTTACAACGAAAGAGTCATTAAACATTTCAAGTATATTTCATAAATAATTAGAGAATACATTAGTTAATACCTAGAAGTTGTAAACGGTCCTTGGCCATAACTAAATTAGTCATCATTTTGGCTTGAAGGCGTCTAGCTCTTTCACACTGTTCACCTAAGTGGAAAAAAAAAAGCAAAGGAAGAATTAGTTGAAGTATCTACATTTCCCTACTAACAGTGTTTCAAGGTGTCACTCCAGTTACCTTCATGCAGAATCATAATCTTTCTTTATAGAGAAATTAAAGATGGACTAAGAGTCTCACACTTTAATTCCAGGACTTGGAAGACTGAGTTAAGTTCAAAGTCAATCAGGATATATGAGTTTCAGGCCATCCTGGGCTACAGAATAAGACCTCATCTCATAAATGAAAGTAGACAGGGAAAATGCTATTGCTAGGCAAAGCAAAGAACACCTGACACTTAAAACTCTGGAGGGTGAGACAGAAGGACCATGAATTCAAAGCCAGTCTGGAATATACAGTGTGAACTTGTCTTAAATATATATTATACATAGACATGTTACTTCAAAAACTATCTGCTACAGTTCCTCATGATGGCTTCAAATCTAATGTAGTACGTGGATTTCATAAACATTTCAAGGAGCCCACGATATATCCCCTCATACTTCAGTCTTTGAATGGAGACTAGTGAGATGGCTCAGAAGGTCGAACTGCTTGCTTGCTGTGCAGACATGACACCTGGAGTTCAAGTCCCGTGCCCACTGTGGAATCTGAAACTGACTCTGACACTTGTCTTCTGACCTCCACACATCATACACATACACACATTAAACAAGCGAGGCTAGGATAGGATCTGTCATCTGTGCCATCTACTACCAGGCAGGCTGCAGTCATTTTGCCACAGCCTGTGCATGAGTGAATCTGTCACAAACAGTGATGCTGTGATGTCTACCAAAGACATTCTATTCAGTAAAATCAGAACTTAAATTCTAAGTGGTGAGAAGAAAACACACTTTGAGGGTTTCTTTTTTTTTCTCTTAGTAATAAAAGGCATGAGTCATTTCCTTCTAATGGTTCTTCATGAAGTTCACTAAGTCCTGTATATGTACTCATATATTTAATTCATAAAGTCGCGTTCATCAAAGCCTCAAAGATACAACCCCTAATACTTTTTCTTAACTGACTTATGCAATGCTTGAGTTTTTCCCAGAGCTTCACCAAAGTTAGGCATTGCTCTACCAGTAAGTCAGATCCTACTGTTTATACAAGAGACCAGCTGGGCGGTGGTGGTGCACACCTTTATTCTCAGCACTTAGGAGGCAGTAGCAGGCAGATGTTTATGAGTTTGAGGCCAATCTAGTCTACATATTGAATTCTGGGCCCGCCAATGCTACATAGTGAGACCCTGTCTCAAACAACAGAACAACTACAGAAATGTTAAAAATGGAGAGACACGATTGCAACGCACACCTATAGTCCCAGCACCTGTGAGGCAGGGGTTAAAGGTCAGCATCAAAAGGCCATGGAGAGTGACTGGTCTATACCACCAGGTCTACAGAAGTGCGGCATGATGATGTTCACACTGAGGAAATCACCTAATGATGCATCATCACAATGCATTCTCACTGCTAAGCACAATGGCACTTTGATATTAAAGCTCACATAATACACAACAGTCAAACACTATTAAAAATTCAGCCTCCAGTGGCTGGAGAGATGGATGGCTCAGAGGTTAAGAGCACTGGGTGTTCTTTCAGAGGACCCAGATTCTATTCCCAGTACTCACACAGGGGCTCACAACCGGCTGTAATTCCAGTCCCAGGGGATCTAATATCCTCCTCTGGCCTCTGTAGGTACCAGGCATAGACAAGGCACACAAATATGCATGCAGGCAAAACTACTATACACACAAAATAAAAATAAATCTTAAAAAAAAGAATAGTCAGGAGTGGTGGCACACGCCTTTAATCCCAGCACTCAGAAGGCAGAGGCAGGAGGATCTCTGAGTTTGAGGCCAGTCTTGTCTACAGAGCTAGCTCCAGGAGAGGCAGGGCTACACAGAGAAAAACTGTCTTGAAAAACCAACCAAACAGAAACCAAAAGAATAAAAATAAAAATAGGAGGAGTAGGAGGAAGAGGTGGAAGAAGAGGAAGAGGAGGAGGAAGAGGAAGAAGAAGAGGAAGAAAAGGAGGAGGAAGATGAGGGGGAGGAGGAGGAGGAGGGAAGACAGAGTCCAGCCTCTGCCATCTAGCTGCTTCGGCTCCCATCCTGGCTCTCTCACTTGCTAGCCATGAAGCCTTAGCTGAACTACATCACTGTACGTCATGCTTCTCATCTGAAAATAAGGACGTAACAGCAGGTACAAAGCAGAGTTACAGTAAAAACCAGACACTCTATACAGGCATTTAGAGAGATTGCTGGGAGACAGTAAGTATCCAACGAATGTTAACTACATAGATACTAGACTCTAAGTTTATTTCTGTTTTGTTTCTGATTAGAGGTCTCACTGTATAGTCCAGTCTGAATTTGAACTTCAGATCTTTTTGACTCACCGCCCCACAAGTACTGGGATTACAGGACTAAGCCACTATACCTGGCTTAGACCACAATTCAAATTTGGTTTTAATTGAAACCAAACTGTTTTTGTTTAAAAGAGTCAAACATAAATCATAACAAGACATTTCCGATTTATTTTATTTTACATTGTTGTTTTGAGACAGGGTTTCATTATATAACCCAGACTGGCTTTGGACTCACAGAGATCCCCCTGCCTCTGCCTCCATAGTACTCGGATTAAAGGCATGTGCCTTATTTACATGCTCACACATAGATACGGGACCCACTTCGTCATGTGTAAGACAAGCACCAGCACCATAACAACACACAATAAATCAGGCTTCAAAAACGGACAACACATGTGCCTGATTAACAACTCTTTAGTAATTATCACCAGTTGAACACTTACTGATGCCTGCATAAAGATCAGAGTGTATTATTACCTGCCTACTATACGAAGTCATGTTTAGACTTCATTTAATTTCATTTTTAGAATAGCCAATACCATATATGCACAAATATTAACAATGACATCAAGAAATAAAATACATTCACTAAGGTAAATATCTAAAAAGAGGATAATTATGTAAATTCAGTATATAGCCCCACCCTCGTGCAAATCTGCTTTCAGAACTTTCAGTTACCTGTGATCACCTACAGTCCAAAATAAATAAACGGAGAATTGCAAAAATAAACAAGTTATAAATGTTGAACTGTGTGTAGAATTAATAACATTTCACCTTTACCTGCTCTATCCCACCTTCATCATGAATCTTGGTCTTTGTCCAAAATACCCAAGCTATGTGTGCTGCTGCCCGGAGTCACTTAGCAGCCGTCCTGGGTATCAGTCTATTACTTAGGGCTTGGCAGTATGTGTAGTCTACTCCACCAGGAGCCCTGGCAGGTTCTCCAAGAAGACGGGATTTGGAGGGAGGGACTACTGTAGAATTTGAGGTGCAACAGAAACTATACATATTACCCACCTTGGCCCGTAACTATAACCGCGATTCCTTTTTCTAGTTCTTCGATACCTTTCTTATACCATTCCACAGCTTGTTCCTTCTGTCCTGCTTTAAAAATAAAAATCATTATTTGTATATGTCATGAGTATGAAAATGTAGCATCCACTGCCCCAGGTACCACACTGAGAGTTGACACAGGAAGAGACTGTGGTAAGTCAATCCGAGAGGCATCATCGGCCTGCCATACGACGTCTATCTTAATACGTATGCCTCTTCAACAGAAAAACTAGAGTCCAATGTTTCTCACAATTTTAGGTTCTCTAAAGCACACTTATTGATTGATAGTGTGTGTGTGAGAGAGAGTGGGAGCACACTTGCCACAACATGCACATGGGAAGCAGAAAACGCCCACGGGAACTGTTCTTTTCCTTCTACATATAGGTCCTGAGGATCGAACTCAGATAACCAGGTTTGGCATTTAAGCCCTTTTACCACTGAACCACCTCTCTGGCCCAAAATGATAGGATGTTTTGTTTTGAAGGCAGGGTTTCTCTGTGTAGCCCTGGCTGCCCTGAAACTCACTCTGTAGACCAGGTTGGCCTCAAACTCAGAGCTCCTCCAGTCTCTGCTTCCTGAGCGCTGGGATTAAAGGTGTACGCCACCATGTCTGGCATTTTCTTTTTCTTTTTTTTTTTGGTTTTTCGAGACAGGGTTTCTCTGTATAGATGTCTGGCATTTTGAAACACAACTGCTGTGATCACAAAATAGAATGAAATCTTTTTGTAGATACAATATATAACTAAGAAATTTTTTGTTTGTTTGTTTGTGTTTTTTTTGAGACAGGGTCTCTCTGTGTAGCCCTGGTTGTCCTGGCAGTCACTCTGTAGACCAGGCTGGCCTTGAACTCAGAAATCCACCTGCCTCTGCCTCCCAAGTGCTGGGATTAAAGGCGTGCGCCACCACTGCCTGGCAAAATATTTCTTTATGAATGTGTATTCCCATTCCCCCAGTGACTCACCCCCACCTGCCTTTTTAAGAAAAGTTCTATGTAGCACTCACTGTGCAGGCCAGGCTGGCCTTCGAACTCACAGAAGTCTGTAGCTTCTGCCTCCTAGAAATGAGATCAAAGATGTGTGCCACCATTCCCTTGTCATCCCCCAAATCAGTCAACCCTTATACTCGGCAATTTCTTACTTCTCACAAAATCATAGTTTTCACTCTGCCTAGTAAAGAGTAAGTATTTAAAAAGCAGTTGATAATGGCACATGAAGAAATTATTAAAAGCTTGTTATAAATCAGCCTGGACATGATGGCAAGAAGTTCACAAGTTCAAGGTCTTCCTCAGCTACAGAGCAAGTCTGAGGCTAGCCTAGGCTATAAGAGCCTTCCTCAGTTTATTATAAACCAACTGAAACTCTGGATGTTCATCTTTCCTTTCTTCTTCTTTTTTTTTGAAATGCAGTCTTTGTAACCCAGGCTGGTCTTAAAATACATATATAGCTGAGGATAACCTTGAAATGCTGGCCCTCTGAGTACCAGCATTACGAGCTAGGACTTACCAGGGTGCCACTACGCCTGGCTTCACTGCCCCATTTTCAATAAGAAAATACCTGCTCACATGCATTGCAAGTTTTTTTTCTTGGAAAAAAGAAAAAAAAAAAAACCAGTGTAATATTTACATTCTGAGTGATGAAAGTATCACTAGCAATATCTGATTTCTGTACCATTTTTAATACAAAGTAGATAAATCCTAGGAAATAGAAGAAGTTAGCTGCTTTGCAGTGACTCTTCTTCTCCTGGGCTCTCCCTTCCAAGATGCCACTATCATAATCTCAGTACAAATCTTTCTAGTACAGGCATTTCTACTATATTCATCAATACTTGTAGTATTTCTTTTTTAACTTTTTTTTTTTTGAGACAGGATTTCTCTATGTAGTCCTGGCTGTCCTGGAACTCACTATGTACACCAGGCTGGCCCTGAACTCAGATACACCTGCCTCTACCTCCAGAGTGCTGGGATTAAAAGCATTTATGTATGTGCACGTCTGTGCAGCCACAAGCCCTTGCCTGTGCATATGGAAGACCAAGGCTGATGTCTGCTATCTTCTTCTATTGCTCCCCACCCCACATGGGCTGGGGCATGGTTGCATGTACCACAGCACGTGTGGCGGTCACACGGCAACTTGGTGTAGTCCTCTAACTTCCATCTATACGTGAGTTTAGGGAATCCAACAGGATGCCAGGCCTGGGCAGCAAGAGCTTTTACCTATCCTGCTGTCTCATCAGGCCTTCTTGTTTTTTGAGAAGGCAGCTTTCATTTAACCTGGAGTTTACTATTTTGGGTAGGAAGGCCTGGCCAGAGAGCCCCTGGGAGCCACTGTCTCTAAGCACCTTAGCGCTGGGATAACCAACCACATCTGGCTTTCACATGGCTGCTGGAGAGCTGAGGTCAGGACCTCATGCCTGTGCAGCAAGTGTCTACCCACTGAGACGGCTCCACGGGACTTCGTTATTAACTCACTCGCCAGATTGCTACAGTAATACATACAACAGCATGCTCACCTGGAAATTTAGCTACTTTCTATATTAAAAGGTACTGAAGGGCTGATGGGACAGGTCAGAGGGGAAGTGCCTGCTGCTGAGGCTGACAACTTGAGTTTGCTACCAAGGACTTACACGGTAGAAGGAGAAAATTGATTCCCACGAGATATCTAACTTCCATACTTGTGTCAAACACTGACAAAATAAATAAATGTTTTAAGTATTTTTTAAATGGTTTAAACAGGTTATTAAATGAAAGGGAACACATTATTCAGTAGTTGACTATTGCCTTGTTGGAGTAAGGCCCTGGGTTTCATCCCCAGCACCACAAAAAAAAGATTCAAGCCGGGCAGTGGTGGCGCACGCCTTTAATCCCAGCACTTGGGAGGCAGAGGTAGGCAGATTTCTGAGTTCGAGGCCAGCCTGGTCTGGTCTACAGAGTGACTGCCAGGACAGCCAGGGCTACACAGAGAAACCCTGTCTCAAACAAACAAACCAACAAAAAAACAAAAGATAGGATTCTAAGAAAAGAAAAGACCCTAGAGCTGGAGCCCAGGCGTTAAGAGCACTGGTTCTTCCAGAGGGCCAGAGCTGGATTTCCAGCTCCCACATAGAAACTCACAACGTCTCTAACTCCAGTCCAGGAGATGGGATGCCCTCTTAGAATCTCTTGAGTATTAGGCACACATGTGGTGTAAATTTACATATAGAAAAAACACTCATATACATAAAATAATAAAGAAAAATGCTTTTAAAATACTAAAAATTAAGGGCTAAGCTGGAGCTCACTGGCAAAACACCCTGCTTAACATGTCCGATCCCAGAGTTTAATCCCCAGCTCTCTCTCCAAAAATATATCAAACGTGGTCCTAGTTCTTTTGTTTTTCCAAATAGTGCTGCAATGACCATTCTATCCCTAATACCCATCTGCAGTTTCTCTGTCATATACACTGAACAACTAAACACTGAGGTATCAGGTCTTCCTCTCACCATAAGGACAATGCTTAACAGAGCTGTTCTAATCTATACACAGTCTTCTTACTTACATTTGTTCTTATTACATTCATCTGTTTAGTGGATGTATGTGGATGTGCCCTGTAACAACACCCCTACGGAGGTCAGAGAACGCCTGGCAAGTGTCAATTCTCTCTACCATGTAGGTCCTGGATAGCCTAGCTCATCAAGCTTGGTGGCAGGCGCCTTTACCTACTAAACCAGCACTTCTCAATCTGTGGGTTGCAGCTATCAGAAAATACATATTTCCAATGGTCTCAGAAACTAAGACATTGCTCAGTAGCAAAATTACAGTTATAAAGTAACAAAAAATAAATACATTTATGGTTGGGGGTTCCTATGACCATGAGAAAAATGTGTTTTCTGATAGTTGTAACTCACAGGTTGAGAACCACCGTACTAAACTATCTTGCTGGGCCCTTTTCTTTTTTTTTTTTTTAATTTTAATTCTTACTACTTTAAAGTGTCTGTGTATGTGCATGTGAGTGCAGGTGCCTTCCAGGTCAGATATCAGATGCCCTGGAGCTAGAGTTACAGGGGGAATGTGACACCTAACACAGCTTCTGGCAATTGAACTTGGGTCCTTCTGAAGAGAGCAGTATGTATTCTTAACTGTTGAGCCATCTCTCCAGCCCCTGTCCTTTTCTTTATGGTACTGGAATTGAACCTAGGGCCTTGGGTTCATCCTAGGCAAGCACTTTAATACTAAGCTATATCCTCAAACCCAAACTATGCTCTTTTTTGTCTTTTTATGTTTTAAAGATTTTTATTTTACTATTGTTATTATTATTGGTCTCTATGTGACATGTGAGTGCCATAGTGCATATTTGGAGGTCAGAGGACAACTTTAGAAAGTTGGCTATCTATCTCCTTCAGTGGTGAGTTCTGAGGATTAAATCCCAGGCCTGAGTAGCAGGTGTTTTTTGCCTGCTGAGCCATCCGTCTCACTGGTGCACTCTTAATGCCAATACAAGAGCTCCAGTTGGCAACATTTTTAAAAAAAGATTTATTTATTTATTTAATGTATGTGAGTTCACTGTAGCTGTCTTCAGACATATCAGAAAAGGGCATCAGATCTCATTACGGATGATTCTGAGCTACCATGTGGTTGCTGGGAATTGAACTCAGGACCTCTGGCGAGAAGTCAGTGATCTTAACCACTGAGCCATCTCTCCAGCCCAGGCAACATTCTTTGGTCTTAAGATTAAGTACTGAGGATTGAACAGGTTTGGCAGCAAAAGCCTTACCTGCTGAGCCATCTCACTGGCCCACTGACAACATCAGCACTTGCTTGTCTGTTATACTGTCTCTAAATGGTAAAATTTATTATATGTGTATGTATGTACAGTGGGGGCCAAGTGTACATACTGTGGGGACACAAGTGTGGAGGTCAGAGGACAGCCTTGTGGAGTGAGCCCCTCCTTCTTCCCTATGTGGGTGGGTTATGTGGGTTCTAGGACAATCCACACACCATCGGCTTTCAAGAAAAAGCCTTTTAGCCAAGAGTCACCTTGCCAGGTCCTCACTAGGGTGTAAACCTCAAGAGCAGTTAA